TTTTCTGTGATTCACAGATTTATTCCAAGCTAGCCCTGAACACAATTACTTGCAGCAAATGCCCCTGCAGTTTCCTCTTTTCCTTTTTATTGAAGTACCATTGATACACAATCTTATATTGGTTTCAAGTATACAACATAGTGGTCCAACAGTTACCTGTATTATTAAATCCTCATCCCCACTAGTGCAGTTACTTCCTGTGTTACTGTCAACACAGGAAGATGTTACAGAATCATTGACTATATTCTACATGCTGTACTACTATCCCCATGACTAACTCATATTATGATTGAGAATTTTTGTGCCGCTTCATCTCCCTCCGCCTCCCCCAAGGTAACCACTTATCAGTGTCTGAGTATACTGCTATTTTGTTCATTCTGTTTTGCTCTGTTTTTATACTCCACAAATAAGTGAAATCATACAGTATTTCTCTTTCTCTGCCTGGCCTATTTCACTGAGCATAATACCCTCTAGATCCATGTTGTTGCAAATGGCAGGATTTCTTTTCTTTTTATGGCTGAATAACATTTCATTGTGTATAGACACCACATCTTCTTCATCCATTCATCTATTGATATTTAGGTGGCTCCCATAGCTGGGCTATTATAATAATGTGATGATGAACACAGGGGTGCATGTATCTTTTCAGATCAGGGATTTTGTTTTCTTTGGGTAAATTCCTAGAATTACTGAGTTTAATGGTATTTCATTTTTTTAGTTTTTTGAGGAGCCTCCATACTGCTTTCCATAGTGGCTGCACCTATTCATATTCTCACCAACAGTGTAGGAGGGTTCCCTTTCCCCACACTTTTTATTTCTGGTCTTTTGGATAGTGGCCATCCTTGCTGGTGTGAGGTGATACCTGACTGGCGTTTTACTTTGCATTTCCCTGATGATTAGCGATGTGGAGCACCTTTTCACGTGCCTGTTGGCCATCTGTATTTCTTCTGTAGAGAAATGTCTGTTCAGGTCCTCTGCCCATTTTTTATTTGGGTTGCTTTTGGTGTTGAGGTGCATGAGTTCTTTGTATGTTTTGGATGTTAACCCCTTATCAGATGAGTCATTTACAAATACGTTCTCCCATACCTATAGGTTGCCTTTTTGTTTTGCTGATGGTGTCCTTTGCTGTACAGAAGCTTTTTAATTTGATGTAGTCTCACTTGTTCATGTTTTGTTTCCCTTGCCTGAGATGTGTCCAGGAAAAAATGGCTCATGCTTATGTTCAAGAGATTTTTGCCTATGTTTTCTTCTAAGCGTTTTATGGTTTCATGTCTTACATTCAGGTCTTTGATCCATTGAGTTTACTTTTGTGTCTGGAGTTAGACAGTAATCTGGTTTCATTCCCTTGCATGAAGCTGTCTGATTTTCCCAACACCAGTTATTAAAGAGGCTGTCTTTTCTCCATTGTATATTCATGGCTCCTTTATCATATATTAGTTGACCATGTATGTGTTTATAGCTGGGCGCTCTATTCTGTTGTATTGATCTATGGGTCTGTTCATTCTTTATCAAATCATGTAAGGGTATATAATGAATTTTTTTCTCTAAGTTGTAAATACACATTCCTGAATCCCCTCAAGTTAATTCCATGAGCCTTACAAAAAATCTTTTCATGTGTGCCAGGATGTGAAAAATGTTGGAAAGTACACCTTAGGGCAGTAGGTTTTAAGAGGGATTCCTAATAGGAGAGTGAGCTACACTTGATTCGTAAGATGGCTCACTGAGAACACTCACATACTAACAGTTGTGCAAATTGATCCACTTACCCACAAAATCATCCTTCATAAAATGCTCATGGCTATAGTTTATAGTCTTGAGTGCTACAGAGGCTGTCTGGAGGTCCATGGGTCAGTTTTGTGGGGAGTCAACCTCTGCCCTGCCCCCAGCTTTCTTGAGGCATAACTAACAAAACTGTAGGATATTTAAAGTGTACATTGTGATGATTTGATAAACATACACCTTGTGAAAGGATTTATCCCATCTAGTTAATTAACACATCCATCACCTCACATATTTGTATGTGTTAGAACATTTAAGTTCTATTCGCTTATCCAATACACTGATATCAACCATATTATACCTTAGATCTTTGGCTCAAGTTTTTTAATGGGCTGGCTCTAATCCATTGGTTTTTCCCTCTATGATAAGACCATCTCAAGTTTGCTTTCAAGACTGTGACAATACTTAATGAGTACTCTGTAGAATAAAATATTTTATAAAACACAATGTTCTTATGTTTAAAGCTGTACATTTTAGATTAAAAAATAACACATACACCATACTTTGATACTGTTTTAACATTTATCTCTTAATGACAATAAATGCTTTTCCCTCATTGGGAAATGTCATATCTATTTTTAATGGGGCCTTAAAAAGTAACAGCATTTTGTCCAAACTGAACTTATATAATTGCACAAAAATCATAAAAAGCATTAAGAAATGCTACCAAAGATTGCCATTCTCTCAGATCCTCATGAAGCACACCCCGAGAAGCCGTGGTTTCAGGGGGACCCCAGATCTGCACGATCCTTATGCTCACCCTCACATTCCCAGTGACACACAGGCAGAGGAAGGAAGAGCAGCCAGGACCCGTGGGCTTTGGGACAATGGAATTCTGCTCTACTGTTAGAGTTGAATGATGACTTCACCGTCTTATTTTATTAGGAGCATTAAACACTTCAGTTTGAAGTATATTTTCCCAGGCTTAAAACATAACCCTATCAACTTAAGTTTTGGGCTATGGATCCCACCTCAGGTAATTAAAAAAAAAAAAAATCAACCACCATAAAACCTGTTTCAAGCAGGGTCCTTTGTTGTTACCATCCTGGGCCCTTACTTAGTTTGTAACACACACCCATAACAAGTTACATTATCACTGATCACATGCCAGCTGAGGGATGGCAGAGCCTAACTCAAATCTCGACTTTTTTTATTGGTAGCAGTTACTGTGAACGCCGTGTTATAAGGACTCTGAGGTCACATGTGGATTGGTGGGGCCAGCACTGTGCTTTGCCCGTCATCTCTGAGATGGACACAGGAGAAGAGGCAGCTCTCAGGCAGCAGATCTGCAATCTGTCCATTACTAAGAAAGCTGAAGAGGGTGTAGGTTACATAAGCTGTGAAAAATAATACAAAACCCAATTTTTCTATTTTGATGAGTTACAATGTACCTGGGGGTTTATTTTATGGATTTTAATCTCAAATAAGATACAATGTCTATGATAGGAGTTTTGCCTTTCTGACCTTATGGAAAATTAATGAAAAAAAATAACAGTGTTTTAAAGAAGACACACAAAGAGAACTCTGTCACCATGATAAATAGCTTCCTAACTCTGGATATTATGACTATGGGAAGAGGAGAGTTTTTACTCACTCCAGTGTTTACTACTGTGTTTCAGAGTAAAAAACACAGTCCCAGGCTCCTGATTATGGGGAAAAATAGCAATTCCTGAAATAAACATTAAAGTATGTGGCAGAGGCTACCTAGGTGGCCTTCCTTCATTTAGATGGTGTCATTAATGGATCAACCACATCTCTTCAACTCAGGGGGAAAAATTCCAGTGTAACTTTTGAAGGATTTCTAAAAACTAAGTCTTTCATTAGGAGAGCCTGGGTGGATATGTGAAGCACTTATTATACTTGGACAAGGAGGGAACATGGGGCCTGTCTGGTATGGCTAAGAATATATGAGATCCTGCACTGTGCACAACAGTCTGCTCAACAAACCCTGAATATATCAGATGCCCCTACAGCTGTGCTCTGAGAGTCACTGTGCCATCTCTTAATGGTTCTGATGGGCTGTTACAAATGCTTGGCTACTGTGCTTAGGACAGTATACCTGCATCAGGGACTAAAAGTCACCGCGAGAATTCTGCAACAACCATTTTAAGTACGACTCGCAACATCTGCAGAACTTGACTGGAATCTAACCAGAAGTCTGTTTCAGGTCCCAGTATGTTGCTACCCAGGCTTTTAGCTAGAAAGTTGAAGACCACAGAAAATGATTTCTAGGAAGAAAGGGAAATTTCCTTTTCCAGGATTGTAAATGGAGAATCCCAATTCAAGGAAAGGGTTGTTGGGGCCACAGAAGCCTAGGGAGTGAGCAGCCAGACTTGTGGATTTATTTTCAGTCCCCTGTTTAGAAAGGAACACAGGACTGAGGAGTTGGAGGGAGGTGGGGAGGGCAGGCATGGGAATGACGCCTCCAGCTGCTCAGCAAGCCAGGCACCAGTGGGTGAGCACTGTCAGGGCACGGTCTGTGTCACTCCGGTTTATGACATTACCTCTGTGCCCTGATGAAGTTGCCACCTATCTGCTTTTGGCTCTGTGCCTTGGGTTTTCTGGTAAGATGGGCAAACCTGTACCACTGCTGGGAGTGTTGATTCCCTGGCCTCTGTTTCCCTAATACAAATACTATCCTTAAAACCCTTGAATTTATGTTCTAACGATCAGCATCTTTGTACATCTTGGGCTCACATCCAGGTTGAAAGGAGGTGAAAACCCTAGTTCTTAAGCTTCCCGCTATGATGGAAGGTCCTGACCAAACCGCCTGCAGTAACTGGGCCCTGCTCACTCTGCAAACTGAGCTCCTGGATGACCGGGGAAACGTGGCTCTTTACTGTTGCCCTTCCAACGCTAACATCCGACAGACAGGGTCATTGGGTGTTTACAGGTACTTGCTGGGGTCCACATTGATTTTTTTTTAGGCACTTGAGAAAATCACAGAATGATAACAGGGGTATCTCTCTGAAACATGGATGCCATTTATCTGAGGTTAAAAGGTAAGGCCAGGACAGCAGCTTCAAGGGTGTGCTGAGGGTCAGTGCACTAAGAATCTACAAAGGAAGCATGGCTGTCTGGGGAAGGAATCATCTTCCGATTGAGAACAGACAGATGGAGGTCTGGATCTGTAGCAGACACACATATACTTTCTTCTCTTTCATTTCCTTCCTTATCAAGTTTCTAAACACTTTCCAGACTCTAGGCAACCAAAGAGCAAGAAAGACTCAAAACTTTTTTAATAGCTAGTGTTGCTGGAATCTGCACTGTGGCTGAATGGTGGGACCGCAGGACACCAGTGCCCATGAGGGCTCATATGGCTCCAGTAGATACACAGGATGGGGAATAGGTAGGTAAGAATTACAGAAGATCTCTACTGGCCACCCCCAATGACTGATGGGTAGTTTTTAGTGTAAACAGGGACCTTGGCAGTTAGCTCAAAATACAAGTATTACACAGACATCTTACGTTATTGGGTAGATCTCATCAAAAGTGCAGAAAGGGAAGACATGGAGAGAGAGAGAATTTTCTGTATGTTTAAATGTGTTAACTGGAATACATCGACATATGTAACAAAAATCTTTCTTTACCTTTAAAAATTAAACTTACCTGAGTCATTAATTCCATAGAATTAGTGTAACTAAAGTTTGAAGTGACATACAGTTCAACAATTCAGTTTTCCATATTTCTAGCTACTTAAAAAAAGACCACATCCACAATTATATACACTCACACAGCTGCCACCCTCCCAAACAGACATGTGTGTAAATGTTCACATGGAGACACTCAGAAAGCAGGAGTGCACAGATGCCAGTGGACACCCCTCTTGAGCCTGAGGCGCATGGGGGCTGTGGGGAGGCTCAGGAAGCTCTGCTGCATATCTGCTCAATGTCACTCATCTCTTTGGGACAATCTGCAGAAAGGATCAGAGGTGAGTCCTGAGTCACCACTACATCATCTTCAATTCGTACACCAAGGCCACGGAACTTCTCTGGGGCATCTCTGTCATCCTCCGGAACATAAATGCCTAAGAGTGAGAAAAAGAATGTGGTGTTCATAAATGGCAGTAACTGGATGATTTGGAGAAGGTAAATTAGCCTCTGTATGTGACACTTCATCTGTAATCTGGGATCTTAACAGAACCTACCTAGACTTGCGGAGGCGTTTTGAAATAAGATAATACATATAAAAGTGTCTGGCACATAATGGTCAATAAATGTTGACTATCATTACTAGAATTATTATAGTTATTTTATATACTAGACTACAGGCTCCATACAACTGTTGATCATGACTGTCATATTCTAGAGACTCAAGCAGGCCATTAAACTTATGAGTATGTCAATATATGCTGGGAACCAGTAGATTATATAAATGCATTCTTTCTCTGCCTTACAGTTCCCCTGGAAAAAGATAACTTTGCTAAAATAAAGTTATAAGGTATTTTAAAATGCATTAAAAACACACACCTATTTAGAGATCACTAGCCTGAACAACCAGAAGCTGTACAAACACTCAAACAGGCCCTCTCAAATAAGCCATAAATGTAACCGACGTACATGAGTGAAATAAGAAGACTTCAATGGACATGGTGTGAAGTTCTAGGAGCCCAAGGAGCCCTCTCTAATCATGAAGTCAGACAGTCAACAGGTCTTTTCATATTAAAGAAACTGTAGACTTCCTCCACTACAGTCATGATGCTGCCCTGTGATAAAAAGGCCAAGGGAAATACAGTGAAGGTCTAAGGAAGCACCCAGGTACCAACCAGACTGGACTGAATGGTACATAAGGCCAGAGAGCAACAGATGGCTGGGTTCAAAGGTGGTAGGAAAGATACATCCCACCTATAATTTGTAGAATTTAGAGATGAAAACACTTGAAATCTAGGCTTGAGATCCATTTTTTGTGATAAAAACAGCATTATAGTGTTTAAAAAGCAACTCCTGTAACATCAGTCTTCACACTCTGCCATGGCCACGACTTCCTGCTGAATTCTGCACAATGCCTGGTAGCACTCAAGCTAAGGAACCATTAGATGGAGTGTCTTTCTGCAGGAGAGCACAGGGGGCTTCAGAAGCATGAGCCCAGCCCACCACTACTACATAGGAGACTCGTGCAAATTGGCCCTGGCAAAGGCAGGGTTAAAAACAAAGATCTATTTCTTAATATCTACTTTAGAAGTATTTTCCATCTGTTGTTTATTGGAGAAGTCAAATTAAACAAACTGTGTGATGTTAAATAAGAAAGCTCAAGAAAAATCTAAAAGTTCCCTTCTACACTGGAGAGATCCGTTTTCCCATCTCTCCTAATTTAATTATGTTGGTCAAGTAACAATAAATGATGTTTACCTTTCGATCTGATACTACTATTATGTGTCCCAAGGGGTGAGAGGCTACTAGCCCCCCTTACCTGGCTCCACCGTGATTACCATGCCGGGCTGTAAGGGGAGGGAACGGGGCACGTCTGGAGTGTCATGGACATCCATCCCAAGGTAATGGCCAACATGATGAGGGCAGTATTTTCGAGCAGCCTGGGGAAAGATAATTACCAGTGTTGTTAGAGCAATGACCCTTTAAGGGAAAGCTGGGCATGTATAAATCAGTGAGATGTGTGTTAATACTTCTCCCATGGTTCTGCCACTTATGTTTAACCTATCCTTGGGTTAATGCTTAAGAAACCTGATCAAGTACCACCTTTTGTATGCAAATCTGCCAATGGCATTCTAACTAATCCACATTTCCATTCCCACTAATTTAATATACTTCACACACCCTGACTTGGGTAACCCTAGTAATGCCCATGGCAAATGAACATCTTTTTTCTTGGGGGATGGAAGATAACTATTAATTTAGAATAGTTCACTTTTCAATGTCACACCCCGCCTCTCAGGAAGCCTACTCTAGAGACCCTAAGTATCTCGTAGCAACTGGGGCAGTAGGCCTGAAACATCAAATAACACTGTAATTTTTAGGCATTTACCATCTTGGATATTTTTATCCATTAGTTAAAGATCTATGGCCTGAGCAGGAGAAATTTATAGCTTTTTTCCTATTGAGAAAAGAATCCTTGGCAACCTAAACTTGGAGATGGGAGATGCCTTAATAGCCTGACCACTCAGCATCTTAATTGAATGCCAAGGTTTTACATTTTTACTGAACACCATTATATTTCAGCTGCAGATGAAATTCACTAAAGAAGTGGCCCTTGAGGATACTGTTGGGTCTCAAAAATGTCACCGATGCAACATTCTCCCACTCGACATCAACCTCTACCTTTTCAAAATCACCACAAAGGGATTAATTGGTGACCTCTCCTCCTTTCTGTGTCCTTTTCCACCCTGTCTGCACCAGACTGTTTCCTGCCAATTGAGCGAGCCATACAGTATGCAATGAGCCAGAAGGTGCTGCCATCTTCTGGCCAATGTAAGTACTGACTCCCTTTGTTTTAATCTACAATCTAAGTCCTTCTGACAGATGAACAATCACAAAGACCATTTCTAAATCGAATTAGATTTATATAAGCCAAAAACCAAGTTGAGAACTGGGGTCAAAAGAATGGAGTACCTTGAAACCACTATTTTCCTTAATGTTCTTCACGATTCCCAATTCTTTAAGCTTCTGCCCTATCAGTGTCAGCATCATGTTGTAGATGGTCTCTAAGCTTGTCCCAGGGGAGCAGAGGGTCAGACACTCTCGCTGGATCTCTAGAACAGCTTCATAGAGTTCTGCCTGAGGAGCTGTGAACCTGGGGACAGGAAAACCAAAAAATCTGATTTTGGAAAAATCTGATATTGCAGGAAGTTTGCTTCTAAGTTTGCTTAGAAAAATTGCAAGGCAATGGTGATGGGGCATTACTGGCATTCAGTCAGTACCTATATATATCATTATTGGCAGGACCCTAACTATGCCCAGGACGCTCAACAGGAAGAACAATAATCCTTCAGGCTGGGGCTCCTTCAGATGGTCAGCAGAACATGCATAAGGTAAGGCTAGAAGATGCATCCAGCCATGATTGCAGTCCGAGGGCCAGGCCAGTTCATCCTTGATCCTTTCCCTTTTTTTCACCATTAAAAAACAAAAACACCAAAAAACTGAAAACAATAGAAAAAGAAAAAACCCCACAAAGCCTAGGAATCCACTTCTCACAGGCAAAGCAGATGTCAAGGATAACTGGTCGATACTTTGGTTACTAGTAACTTACTAGCTACTAGGTGTCGTCATAGTAGTAATTTCTTTAGCAATCATGGGGCAAAATGAGAAAGAATTAATTTGGGGTGGTATTCATACACTGTTGATGGGAGTATAAATTAGTACTGCTCATTAAGTCAAAGACCTTAAATCAAAGGTTCATAAAGTTTCAGTTTGTAATTCTGCTCTGAGAATCCATCCTAAAAAAATGTTTTAAACCTTTCTGTGGTGTTGTGTGGTCCTGGGAACCCACTAGCCACGTGTGACTACTGAGCACTTGAAATGTAGCTAGTTCCACTGACAAACTAAAGTGTACATTTGATTCAATCTCGATTAATTTAAATGTAAACAGTCCCGTAAGCCTGGTGGCCCCACACTGGATCACACAGCTCTAGTAGATCCTTCATGGGAGAAACAGTCCTTGAGTTCCTACCTAATAATTTGTGCCCTTCCTTTACAGATAAAGTTGCTTTTGGGGCAGATAAAATATTTGGCTTGAACTTGTTCTCTGAGCTTCTTCAATATGTTACTCCATTTTCTTCTTGTATAAAGCACTGCTTTTAAAGTCTGACAATTATCTAATTTCCTTCCTTTATAAATCCTGTGTTCTTTTTCCTTAGATTAACAAAGGAATTTTTCTTTTTCTTACAGGTTCAGAATTTTACTAGAATGTCTCGGTGTTGCCTTTCCTGGGTTGATATTCTCTGATAGATGATGTGCTTTTTCAAAGGTAGTTTCAGATATATATATATTTTTTTATTTCAGGAAAATTTTATTGAATTAGAACTTTCATTATTTGTTGTTCCCTTGCTTTGGTTTTCTTCTTCAGGGCTTCCTTTATGTGTATGTTGTAACTTCTCTGCCTATCTTTAATATTTGCCAGTTGGCCTGTAAACTTTTTAGTTTGTTTTGACTTTTAATACTATTTTTCCCTTTCATCTTCTATTTCTTATTAAGGCTTTATTGTGCTTCATTGCTATGGGGTACCTTCCAGTGTAGCCTTTATTTCTTAAGTGATTTTTATTTCCAATTCTTTCCTGAGTATTATTGCTTCATCTCTTATATTTTGATTTATGTTCTTTCATGTCTTGAATGGTTGCTTAAAAACTTTTAGGTTGTTTTAAAACAGCAGGCCACTGTTTTTGATGTATTTTATAGCCATGTCTTTCTGATGCGCTTTCATTATCTGTGGGATGTTATTCTGCTCCTCTTTGTCTTTTTTGCTTTTAATGGCTTTGTATGAGATTTAACCTAGACAAAACCACTCTTCCTGAACTTTCAGAATGAGGCAGGATTCAGGAAAGATCTTTTCAACCTCACAGAGCCCGTTCACTCTTCTGTCGCTCTGGTGCAGCGGTAAAAAAATGTGTCAGCTTGCTTTCTGATCGCCCTCCTCTCCACTTCCGCTTGGATCACTCCACTCCATCCTCTCTCTTGTCCCTAGCCTGCTCAGTTTTGATTCCACTTCCAGTGGTTTCTCCTCAGTGTGAGCCCCTGTCCTACAAGGGGGCCCAGGACCTTCAAACTTTCTTGGGCCACTGGAGTGGCAAATCCTTCCTGTATCAGCTTCTGTCCTCAAACTGGCTCATCATTCCCTCCAGTGAATGGCTGCTGGCTGTTGGGGAGTTCTTCTGTTCTCAGGTCTGTCGATAGCCACCCACCTTCACCGTTCCTTCCTTCCACACAAATACTCATGCAGGCCTTGTGGCTGTGTGTGCGTTCATAATTGTTTGTGTTTTGAGGTTTGTAGCAATACCCTGTCGCCTAGTGTTTGGTTTTGCTACCTAATGGCTCTGTTTCTGTATCTATTTCATAATTTGGAGAGACTGAAAAACTATGCTTTTGCTGCTATCTCCCTAGAACCTATGGTTCTCATTTCTTATCTTATTTCTGAGATTCTTCATCTGTTCACTCATTAAGCTAATATTGTCCTTTAACTCCTTGAACACACCTATAATAGCTCCTGTAAAGTCCCTGCCTGCTAACTGTAATACTAGGGTTATTCAGGATCTGTTTTTATGGACTGTATTTTTCTTGATTATGGGTCACATTTTTCCTGATTCTTCTCATCTTTAGTGATTTTTTAGAACTTAACACTGAAAATTATGAATGCTACAACGTAGAGATCCTGGAATTTTATTACGTTCTTCTGAAGAGTGATACTTGTTAACTTGGCTGGATTCAAACTACAAACTCTGCTCTCAGTGGGAAGTAACTAAAATCTCTGCTCAGTCCACTCAACTTCTAGCTGCTGGTATTTTGCTGAGCCTCCTGGGGTCCCTCCCCAACATATAATTTAGTGATCAGCCAATAATTTTAGAATATTTTATAAAGACATTTTGGAGCTCACCCTCTGTGGCAACCTCTCTTCCAAGACTTAATGCACTGTTTCTGCCTTTAAAGACAGGGCATATCAAATTCCTATCTAAATATGCAGAGAACTTGGCACATGGTCAAAAGAGTACATATATAGCAATGATGACTTCAAAGAATGCATCTAACACTGTCCTCTGATACCTTAAGCCAATAAGGCTGTGGCTTTCTGCCACCCAAACTGTGTAGACTGGGGAACTGTGTGGATTGGGGAGTGCCTTCAGGCAAAAAGCCCTAATCATTTAGGTCCTACCCATTACAGTTCTAACAAGGACAGATTTAATTCAGTTTCTGCCAGTGTTTAGAAGCTCTTTGGTACCTTCAAATACTTGTTTTTGTCCACATTTTCTAATTATTATCTATGGAGGGTTAATCTGACCACACGATTCTACCATTACCTAAATATTATTTTCGTAATCTGAAAATAAAAACTTCAAAAAAAATTTTTTTAATGTGTGTATATGTGTTAACTAGGTATTTCCAGGTGCCTAATCCTGTGACATGATGAATAAAACATTCTTAGAAAATAATCAGGAGACTTTGCAAAGACAGTTAACCTGAACTAGAAGGGACCTGTGTATTTCTCTAGTTATTTATTCCAAATATAAGCATTTTCTAGTTCATACTCCTAAGAAGCAGTGTGATCTGTAGAAGCCTCACCTGCCACTGACAGGCCAGGTGCGGGTGATGTCACTCACATAGCAAGAGGCCTCGCAGCCTCCATCCAGCAGCACCATTTCCCCGTCCTGGAACGAAAGCGAGACAGGTCAGATAGGGGACCCCATGACTGTCAGTCATTTCTACTCCTAACTGAACTTCATTGTGCCATTCATTTTAATATATATATGTATGTATATTACATATTATTTTATATGTCATTTATATATATTTTACATATATATAATTTAAAGGCGATTAATATTCTCTGGTTCCTTTTCACAAGAAATAGCATGTAAATTTTTCAAATGAATTCATATTGGCTCAGGGAAGGTGCCATGCATAGTGATTAAGTGCACAGGCTCTGGAACCAGACTGCTTGGGTTTGAATTACCAAGTGCAAACAACAGCACATTATAAATGTTACCATTATCATTGGATACCACTATTTAAATCGGTATCCAGGGCCTTATTCAAATACAATTACCCTTACCCATTTAACTTTAATCAAAGTAAGTGGGGGAAAAAGAAAACTTTGGGTATCTCTATCTTGCTACTTGTCATATTAATATTGAAATGCACTGTTTCTGCCCTTAAATTCAGGGCATACCAAATTCCTATCTAAATATGCAGAGAACTTGGCACATGGTCAAAAGAGTACACATATGGAATGATGACTTCAAAGAATGGATGTGGTTTTTCTTTCTGGCAAAATGACAGATGAATTTCCTGCTAGGAAACAACTTAAATCCTGGATAAAAATAAACTTTACAAAATGTTGACTTTACATAATATAAGATACATCTTGAAGACTATTCCTCTCTTGAAAAAAGACAGACCAGAAGTGAAACTAGAGCTTTGACTGGTGATGAGGTAAGTGTTACAACAGAGTATATGTAGGAAAGGAGATGTTGCCCTGAGGTCCTATAGCAAAAAGTAGGGAAAATGAATTGGAGATTCCTGCATGAATCCAGGATGCTCACAGGGGATAAAATGGTGCCAGATTATTAGGACCACCTGGCTTCTGGCAAAAGCATATGCAAACAACTCTTGGAGGAAATTTTCCCCCAATTTGGGCTTACATGATATCCAAAAAATAACACCAAACAAATATGAGCTCATAACCAAAAGACTGTCAGTCACACAAAGGGGGTAGGTCAGTGTGAGAGTCAGCAGGAACCACAAATGCCAAACTTAGGTCTTTCAGGACTTCAGATAAGGGAATTATCAGATTTAGAATAGCTATTATGAACTGTTTGAAGAGATAAAGAATGGAATCGCAAAGATGAAGAAATAACAGTAGACAATCCAAAATAACTATGCAGATTTGAAGGGAAACAAATGAAAATAAAAACAACTGCTGAAATAAAACACTCAGGGAGATGGAACAGCAGTTTAGAAAATGGAAGAGAAAATTAGTTTCCCAGAAGACAGACATACCCAATCCCCTTTCTAGAAACATGATAGAGAGAGACAAGGCAAGGGTAACAGGAAAAAGAAGTTAGCTTGTGGAAAACAGAATGAGAAGGTTTAACATACATCTAATTGAAGTCATGAAGGAGTGAATAGAGAGAATGTAAGAGAGATGATATCTATAAAGAAATAATGTCTGAGAATTTTCTAGAACACACGAAGACATGAATCCACAGATCCAGGAAGAAGGTATCCTAAGGATACATAAAAATAAATTTATACTTAGACATATAAACTGAAGAATACCAAAGGAAATCCTAAACAAAAAGAGTTTCCCATAAGGAATAATTAGTGTTTTTTTCCCTTTTAAATCAGAAACTCTGAAAGTCAGAAGAAAGGGGAATAATAGTATCAAACTGAAGACTGAAAATAACTGTCAACCTAAGAGGGTTTTCTTGGCATATCCATCTTTCAAGAATGAGAATTAAATGGAGATATTTCAGCTAAACAAAAATGGAAAAAGTTTATCAGCAACAGACTTTCACCTAAAGAAGGTTCTTCAGGCCAAAGGACGGCGATCCCAGGAAGGCCATCTGAGATGTAAGAAGAAAAGGTGAACATGAGCAGGTGAACCAACTGTCAGAAGGTCTTGCTTTGACCTGTTCCTGCAAGCTGGATGGAGCTGTGGTGAGCTCGGTGGCAGAACCACAGGGCAGCCTGCCCTCTCTAACTGCAGTTCTGCCACATGCCCAGTCTGATCTCCACTAGCCCTTCCAGATGCCCCAAGAGTCCTTTGCATTTCTCAACGTGTTGGTGACCTTGCACACTGACTGTACCAGAAGGGGCACTCACAAAATTTCAGACAATCAGACGATGACCTAGAAGTTCCCAGCTTAGTTTCTCTTGGGCCACTTTATCTAATAACAATACTTCTCTCTCCCTATCAAGCTAGATGTGCTTATTCTCCAGTTTTTCAAGAATGAACATTATATCGTTTATGAATAGACATACTGGTGAAGATATGAATAAAAAAAAAATGACAAGATGGTAGGGGACAGAAAGCGGGGTGTGCCTGGGGTTGCCCAGCAGTCTCCTAAGGTTCTAGCAATGTTCCTCTTATCCTTGATGGTGTATTCATGGTGATTCATTTTACTATTATTACTATTATTTTAAAACAGTACATTACATTTATTGCTTTAATATGTGACGCATTTCACAACTTTAAAAATGTGGAATATAATGAAAATGAGAAATTTATCCTTAAATACTTATAATTAGAAAATAAGAAGGGATGAAAATTAATGAGTCTGGCATCTAATTTAAGAAACCAGAAAAAAACAAGAGAATGAACACAAACAGTAGAAGGGTGAAACTAATAAAGGCAAGGACATGATGTAATGAGATAATAAACAAAGACAAAATAGCATTATGATGTGAGAAGTTGGTTTTAAAAGACCAACTCTGTGTTTTAGGCAATTTGCATACAGTGAAATGTACATATTGAAGTATATAGTTAAGTAAGTTTTGTCAAATGCATATATCATGTAACCACACGCTCACACCTCTTCCCAGTCAACCCACCCCATCAGAAGCAAGCGCTGATCTGATTTCTACCACCAGAGACTAGTTTTGCCTATTTTAGAATTTCATATAAATGGAATCATATAGTTAATAATTTTTTGCATTCTTGCTTATTCATTAAGCCTAATTCTTTTGAGATCTTTATGTTGTTGGTAGTGCAGTAGTTTACTCCTTTTTATTTTAAGCATATACCACATGACAATTTTCTTATCTAATACCCTAGTGATGGATGCCTGGACTATTATAAGTAAACTTGCTATCAACTTTCTTGTACAAGGCATTTTGTGTACATGTGTTTTAATTTTTTCTTGGAAAAATACATATAAATTAAACTGCTGATGCATAGAGTGTATGTATGTTTACTTTTTAAAGAAACTGTCTCATAAGATTAGAAATAAAGGGAAAAGGCAAAATACATCAAGAGCATACCAACTACAATTATAAAAGATTAAAAGGTAAGAAAATACTGTGAATAATTTAAAAAACTTAAAGACAAAGTGATATGATCACTTTGGGGAAGTCTGGTATTTTCTATTTATGTTGCAAATATGCATATCCTATGACCCAGTAATTTCATTACTAGGTGTCCGTTAGGCAAATTTGGTAACTTATATACCAGGAATAATATATAAAAATGCTTACAGAACAATGTTCATGATGCTAAAAACCTGGAAACTATATAAATGTCCATCTATGGGTATTTATTGCTTAAAAAAATTGAAACTGAGAAAACTGTATACTATTTATTAACTCATTTAAAAATAGCAGTAAAACTGTTACATGCTAAGATAAATAATATTTTAAGTGAAAACAATTATTTTTCTAAATAAAAAGTTAGAAAAGTGGCATTGTTTTATATTTTTGCAAATCTTTGTCTAGCATAACAGAAGGTAGCCAGAGTATCTGCTTCTGTATTCAATCTTGTGTGACAGCACATTTCATAAAGCCTGTAGAATATTTCACTGTACGCTTGAGAGAGAATGAGAGTGAAAAAGGCAAAGAATACCTTGTTTTTGTAATTAAAATATATTTAACTTCATAGACCAAACTTTAAAGTAGCACAAAATAAACTACAGTGGCATGGAGACACAGACATAATAAAATTTCAAAAATATGAAGTTCAAACCTGACCATAACCAAACTATATTGAACTATATCATTTATTAATTGTAAAACAAAAAGCAAAGCAAAGACATGATTACTATCAAAGTCAGGAGAATGGTTATCCTATTAGGGAGATAAAGAGTTGTTGCTGGGAAGGGCCATGTGGTGGAAACGTTTCTTGGGGGTAGGAACAGTAATGTTCTATTTCAGGAGTGAAGCTTTTTCTGTAAAGGGATAGATAGTAAGTATTTTTTATTCTGTGGACCACACTGTCTCTGTGGCAGCTACTCAACTCTGTCATTGTTGGGGTAAAGTGGGAATGGCTTGTTCCAATAAAACTTTATTTACAGAACAAAGTGGAAGACAGGCCAGAGAGCTGTAGCTCGCCAACACCTGTTTTATTTCTTGACCTGGGTACATGGGTGTTCACTTTATAATTACTCATTAAACTGTTCCTTTATGTTTTAAGTACTTTTCCAATAGTTACAGTTTGCATTAAGAAAGGTTAAAAAAAGACATAGAAGCCTCACTATATTAAAGAAACTGAATCAGTAGTTAAAAAGTCCACAAAGGAATTTATCAGGTCCAAATAGTTCTACAGGTATGTTCTACCCAATTTTCAAGAAACATTAATTCAAATCATTTCACAATATTAAAAAAGAAAACCAGTCATTTATGAACTTAGTTTGACTTTGATAGGAACATCAGAAAAAGAGTATGAAAAAAACTGCAAGTCAATCTCACAAACACAGTTCAGAATATCCTAAATAATGTACTGGCAAGTTAAAACTGGTAGTGTTAAAGATAAGAAAAGATCCTTACTTTCAGTGATAATTAAAGTAATGAAAATTAAGACCACAATGAGATACTATTTTATACCAACTAGAATGGCAGGAATTAAGAAGTCCAACAATATCAGGGGACACAGAGGAGCTGGTTAATTAAACACTGCTGGCAGGACTGTAAACAGATACAAACACTTGGGAAAAAATTTGTATTATGAATAAAAAAACCAAGTTAAGTCCCAAAAAACTATATATAGGAGTACATAATTTATATATGGTTCATAAACAAGATAACTAATTAATACTAGTTTAGGCAATCATATATATGTGATACAACTATTTAGAAAAATCAAGGGAATGACAAAAATTTAGGATACCGGTTAGTTACCTTTGACAGGAGACAGGATGGCAGAACATAAGGGCACTAAGTAGGTGCACAGTCTTGGTAATGCTCTAACTCTTGAGTGGTTGGTTCATAGGTATCCACTTAAAAAAATTAGGCTGTATATAGTTTACATGTTTTCTATATTTATTCTTTGAATTTACTGAACATTAAAATAGGTAGTTAAAAGTGGACTTAATTAAGGAATACACAATTCTTTACTTGTATGGTCATTTGGGGAGAAAGCTGTAAAAGGTAAGTGCCCTTACAGTTAATAAGCTATTCTTATACTCTGTCTGTTCCCAAAATATGCTTGGCCTACTGCTGCCACAGTCCATATGACATAGGCAGTATAGTTTAGGAAGAGAGATGCCCTGGGCAAGTCAAGAAACCACAGATATCAGAAGCTTGAGGCCAGTTTGTGTGGCTAGCTGGTAAAACAGGTTAAATGAAAACACCAGCTAGATTCTAGGGAAATTAGTTAATGGCAAAACAGAACACATGAGCTAGATTCTAGGGAAATTAGCTGACAGCAAAACAGGTTAAGCAGAAGCAAACCAGCCAGATTCTAGATGGAGAGCAAAGGTAACCCACAGTTACCCCAAAGTTCATTATATGCTCATTAACACATTAAAAATCATACCCCTTGGAGCCCTGACAGTTCCAGGCTGACCAAATCTGGGCAAAAAGAGCACAAATTCCCTAACCCTCCCCATTCCAAGAAAACCGCACCTATCCCTATGAATATGCCATCTCTTGCTTAAGCTCTGGCTACAAGACTACCCAATCAGAAACTCACCACGCTGCTCATCTCTTGGGCATGCCCATGCTTCCTTCTTGAGTGCTTACTTTTGCTTTAATAAGCTACCCTTTGCTTGCACCTGACTTGACTTGCTTGTGAATTCTTGCTCAACAGGGGTCAAGAACCCTGTCCTGGGTTAAGGTCTCACCTAGCTGGCAGGGAGATCTCCCCAGATGGGATTGCCCTGCAACACTTAGAGGAGGAGTGTTATAAAATGAAATGAACTACCGCTAATCATCAGAGAAATGCAAATTAAAACCACATTGAGAAATCACCTCACACCAGTTAGGATGGCCACCATCCAAAAGACAAACAACAACAAATGTTGGCGAGGATGTGGAGAAAGGGGAACTCTCCTACACTGCTGGTGGGAATGTAAATTAGTTCAACCATTGTGGAAAGCAGTATGGAGGTTCCTCAAAAAACTAAAAATAGAAATACCATTTGACCTAGGAATTTACCCTAAGAATGCAGGAGCCCAGTTTCAAAAAGACATATGCACCCCTATGTTTATTGCAGCACTATTTACAATAGCCAAGAAATGGAGGCAACCTAAGCGTCCATCAGTAGATGAATGGATAAAGATGATGTGGTACATATACACAATGGAATATTATTCAGCCATAAAAAGAAAACAAATCCTACCATTTGCAACAACATAGATGGCGCTAGAGAGTATTATGCTCAGTGAAATAAGCCAGGTGAAGAAAGACAAGTATCAAATGATTTCACTCATCCATGGAGTATAAGAACAAAGAAAAAACTGAAGGAACGAAACAGCAGCAGACTCACAGAACCCAAGAATGGACTAACAGTTACCAAAGGGAAAGGGACTGGGGAGGATGGGTGGGAAGGGAGGGATAAGGGGAAAAAGGGGCATTACAATTAGCACACATAATGCAACAGGGGGGCACGGGGAGGGCAGTATAGCACAGAGAAGACAGTGACTCTGTAACATCTTACTACGTTGATGAACAGTGACTGTAATGGGGTATGTGGTGGGGACTTGATAATGGGGGGAATCTAGTAACTACTACAGTTGCTCATGTAATTGTATATTAATGATACCAAAAAATAATAATAATAAAATATAATAAAATGAACATTATACCCAGCCCTGCACTAATGAGTTGCTTAATTTCTTCAGTTTATTTTCCTCACCTTTAAATAGGCATGTTAATAACTGCTACACAGAGTGCTAATGTGAGGATCAAATGAGATAATATCTATAAAAACATTCTGTAAAAAATAAAAAGGGCCTTATAAATGGCAGTTATTTTGTGAAAGTTGAAGGTTAGGGGACCCTGAGGTGAGTGAGTTTTCTTCTATGGAATCTGGATCCAGAGGAAGCAGCACAGAAGGGCATTTTGTGTACCTTTATGAGTTGATTATTCTTCACATAGTGCAAAGTGTTTGACCGATTACCTCCAGCAACCACAGGTGGGTAGGCTAAGATGTCTGCGCCATGGGCCCGGCATTCAAATTCAAACTGAAAAACAACAGCAAAGTGTGACTACAAGTGTGCCTTAAGACAGGATCTCCCCAGGATCTCTTCAATAGCCCATTCCTTCAGTCACTTACGTTATTTCTTTTACTCTCACTCCAATCCTGTAATTCAACCCTATTGCTAAATCTGTTCTCTTCTTTAGAGCACTTTAAAGTGCTCTAAATTTCCTATGATTTTCAAACTGCTAAATCCAGAAGACAGCACAGAAACCCCATGATTAAGGCTGAGTAGAGATACAGTCATGTAGTTACTGTTTGTTTAATCTTATTCAGATAAATACTGGAATACAGTTCACATTTTTAGCAACAACTCTAAATTACTAATTGCAACATCTTAAATAGCTACCACCTACATATTCTGGAAAAGTGAAAAAAGATGCTAAGCAAATAAATTCTATTAAGTTCACTATGACCTCAGACAGAGCTAGAGACTGGCGAGTATCTGCTGCTATCTACAGCACTACCTTCAACTCTCTACATTTAAACAATACTATTCTTCTCTTCTCACACTTGTGTCTTTCCTTTTTCATCTGTTCTACTTTGGAATTGTCCTCATTTAATTGCAGTTTGGCATATTTCAGACTTATCTAATAAATTACCAGTGCTGTTTAAGAACCAAATACTCCCCACTGATAACACAGTCCCTTCTATGAAAGCCAACTAACTGGAGTCTACCTGCAAATCAACGAAATTACATTTGTCTCCAACAAAACCTTCCTAACCATTTAAAAGCTCACCTTAGCATAAAGAAAACCTTCCTCCACAGGGGCTTTACTGGCAAACATGGTCTCTATGAAAGCCTGCAAAGAGAACGGAGGATGAAAAGAACACAATCTCAATTTAATATGTTGCTTATTCAAACATTCAAAATGCTGGAATTCAAATAAAAAGCACTCTTTCTCCGTTTTGTTGACCTGAAGGTGTGAGTTTGTGGGCACAATAACATAGACTTCCAAAGAGGGAAATACTGATGACAGATTGAATGGAAGGGAACTCAACTCTCCCACTCAGAATGTACATTGTATCCACCCCAATGTTTATCGCTGCATTATTTACAATAGCCAGGATATGGGAAGCAACTAAGTGTCCATAAACAGATGAATGGATAAATATGATGTACATATACAGAATGGAATATTCTTTAGCCATTAAAAAAAAGAAATCCTGCCATTTGCAACAATATGGTTGGATCTACAGGATATTATGCTCAGTGAAATAAGCCAGGTGGAGAAAAACAAATACCGTATGGTTTTCTTATTTGTGGAATATAAAAACAAAGCAAACAGAATGAGCAAAACAGCAGTAGATTTATAGACACTGAGAGGTTCGAGTAGATGAATGGAGAGGGTGAGAGGGATAAAGGAGCACAAAAATTCTCAATCATAATATAAACTGATCACAAGATAGTAGTATAGCATTGAGAATATGGTCAAAGATTCTGTAACATATTTCCATGTTGACAGATAGTAGCTGCACTAGTGGGGGTGAGGATTTAATATGGGTGACTGTTGAACCACTGCATTGTATACTTGAAACAAATAGAAGATTGTGTTTCAAGGATACTTCAATTAAAAAATATATATACATTGTATTCTAGAATAACCTACATAGAACACATTTGCCATTTATATAACAAAATATGTGTAAAGCCCAGGAATGTATAAAATTTTGATTGAATGGTATAGTCTATAGTAGGGTTCCCTAAACTCAACACTACTGACATTTTGGGGTTGATAATCCTTTGTTGTGGGGGATTGTCCTATTTCCCCATTGTGATGGTCAGATATTGCCAAATGTCCCCTGGGGAACAAAACTGCCTCCAGTTGGGAACCACTGGCCTCTAGGTACTTTAATTCTGTGATAGCCACATTACATGTATATGTTTATAAATGTACATGTTTATAATTCACCACTACCTTGTCCCAAAAGGGATTTTAATTAGTTTACATAGATACATAAAACACAAAATAGCATTAATCCATGGCAGGGTTAAACAAAAGCAAGGCTTGAGGGGAATGGAGCTTGAAAATGTTAATAATAATAATAATAATGCACACCATGATAACCTTCAAATGAACTATGACTACTATGGATGGGTCACAAATTTGTCTCTTGAGTCTTCTAGCAGCCAATGTAAAAAGAGAAACTGTCAGCTATATAATTTCCAAAGTTTGTGGCATAAAAACAATGAGCTGCACAAGGATATGACAATATCTAGATAGATAGATAATTGGAGAGTAGCAATTACCTAGATAATGTCCAGATTTCTGTTGTGAAAATTAATAAAGGGAAACCTTGCTGACATGGCCTCAGGAGGCTAGCAAGGGGAGCTCCTGAGCCCCACCACTCCCTGTTAATTGCAGGAAGAAATCTACTTTACTACCCAGTAAGAGGAAGGAAGATTTCTGCCTTCCCTCCAGCAACGGCCCAGAAAACGAGAGACTGTCACAAATGGGCCAATGAGAAGCCACAATACATGAAGCTCGCAGTTTACACCAAAGGATTTTTTGCTTAGAACAGTCTTCCCAACTTGGCCTTTCCTCTCTAAGAGCATTCCTCCCCTTTGTTCTCCAGACTTGCCCGTGGTTTTGCCGGTAGCTTGCTAGTCCAGAATTGCAATTCTCTGCTATTCCAGAATAAACTTGTTTTTGCTGGTAAATTAGCTGTTTTATTTTTAAGGTAATACTGTCTAAGGTAGCTGGGTGGATGTTGATATTATGAACCACAGAAAAGAATACAGGAGAGTCAGGTCTGGCAGAGGGTAGAGCATGTGAAAATCAAAAATGGGAAACACCGTGAAGCAGAGTAGGGAGGCCAGAGGGGGAGGCCCACCTACCACTTCAAGGTCCATTACAGAACCGTCATGAGCAGGAAAAATCATCAGCAGGGAAAGAAGCACATTGCATGTCCTACAAGAAACTGACTAAGCCAAGGGGAGACTGTCGTCACCCTGAGCTCTTGCTCTTCTCAACAACCTTCAAAACAACTCTTCAACCTTCAAAACAAGCTCTTCCCTTCAAAACAACCCCTTTCAACCGCCATCTTCTCCATGAAATAATGTTCCTTTCCTTGATTTGTTGGACTTGCCTATGGTTTCCCCCTAGTTTGCATGTCCTGAATTGTAATTCCCTGCTATTATTCCTGAATAAACCCATTTTTGTTGGTATAATAACTGAAAGTTTTATTTTTAAGGTTAACAAGCACAAGTTTAGGTAATTCCAGGGAATTCAGGTAGAGATGTGGGGCAGGGCTTGAGTGAGGTTTATATTCAGCCATAGGAGACATGCGGCCTGTACCAAGTCTGACTCTCACCCCACTTTGCCTTCTGCCCACTTAGGCTACCAACTATCCGTCAGTAAGAGTTAGTTAACTCTAATGGCAAGGTCCTTACTTATTTTAAACCAGATGAGAGTGCAAAAAATCCAACTTATCAGTATTATATGGTCACAAATTACATTTGGCTTGCCCCCCCTGCAAAGAAGAGAAATTTATGTTAGCGCTGAATAACACAGATATAGCACAGTTATTCTAAGGAAACTATTTTGTCCAAATACCCAAAAATCTTACAGAAACATTCTAGACTAGAACTGGTAACACTTAAGGAATACGAATTCCTGGTTCCTAGAAGTTGTTCATTAAGAAAATAAGAAAAAAAAAAGAAAAAGAAAAAGAAGGCCACCTCCCTGTTTCATATCATTATTGAGTTAGTAGATAAAGGGAATATCAAAGACTTACCACTCCTAAATTTTTGCACAACACTTAAAATAGTCTCTCAGGATAACAGTGTGGACCAGTGACAGAAGGTGGATCAGAACACTCCTGGGTAGACTATAGCTGATTTTATACCTTATCCAAAGACATCTGATTATTGGACAAATAATAATTCCTCTGGAGCCCTTAACATTATCCTACAGGTCTATCCTTAGCTTCTTCTCTTCCTTATTTTAAGAATCTATGATTTAAAGAATGACAAAAGGTATATACTTATGTGTATAATCTCTTATAAAAGTAGTCTTTGCTGATCTAGCTATGGCTGAAGGGTTGCACACTGTAATTGAAGAAGGACGCTGACAAGACTAGAGCACATACACAGGTGAGTTGCCAAAATAAGGGAAAATGTAAAATGCGGAATAGTTAACAAAAACAAGAATGTTTCACTTTGGGAAAACTCGAGGTAGAACACAGAAAAGCAGCCTGCTTCAAATGTTACTGTGTGCTATCATGCTGTGAGGTTAGTCCTAGCAGGCCTGGAATTAGCCTGAGCTCTTTTGCTCAATTCCTGCTTGGCAACAATCCTGGGCAGGGCCTGAAACATACTGATTAATAGTGTTGAGAGAAGTTTCAGAGCAGTTTTTACCAGCTTGTCAGTACTGGTAACAGTGAAATTAATAATTTGTACTTGGTCCCCTTGAGACACCCAGAGGGCTTTGCTGTTACATAGCAGGAATATACCAATGTGACCCAAAAACAAAAATCTCTTGAGATTCATTTTGGGCTCCATGGTTCTGAGGTCATGCATCTGTGGTTCCTGATCCAGGAGAGAACGTGCCTTGCTGAGGGAAGACGATAAGAACCTGCACCTCGCTTCTCTGGACCCTTGCTGTAGACCATCCATTGGCTATAACAGGCATTCTTACGGCAGTAAGTTGTTATACTGTATTATTTCTCTGTAAGAATTGTATGTTTGTAAGCACTGTAATCAAGTCTTCTTTAACAATTGAACTTTGCTTAACTGTCTTTGTTATTACAGTAGACATCAGAAGTGGGAATGCTTGGAAGACAATTTTATTTTGAGATAAAATCCATATTACATAAAATTACAATAGAAGTGAACAATTCAGTGGCATTTAGTACATCCACAATGCTGTAAGCCACCGCCTCTATCTAGTGAAAAAACATTTCCATCACTCCAAAAAGAATCCCTGTACCCATGAAGCAGTTACTGCTCACTTCCCCCTTCTCCTGAGCCCTGGCAACCACGAGTCTAATCTGCTTTTAGTCTCTATGCATTTATCTATTTTGGATATTTCAAATAAGTGGACTCATACAATACGTGACCTTTGTGTCTGCCTTGTTTCACTTAGCTTAATATTTTCAAGGTTCATCCATGCTATAGCATGTATCAGAACTTCACTCTTTATGAAGGCTGAATAGTATTCCACTGTATACACATACACACACACATCCTTTTGTTTACACATTCACCCACTGGTAGACATGTGGGTTGTTTGCACCTTTTGGCTATTGTGAGTAGTGCTTCTATGAACAATTGTGTACAAGTGTTTGAGTACCTGTTTTTAATTCTTTTGGGTATAAGAATTACCCAAAATTCTTATACCCAAAGAATAACAGAGGACATGGTACTTCTATGTTTAACTTTTCAGGAACCTCCAAGCTATTTTCCATGGTGGCTGAACAATTTACATTCCTACTGGTAATATACAACAGTCCCAATTTTCCCACATCCTTGCCAAAACTTGCTATTTTGTTTTGGATTTTTTTTGGGGGGTTGCTGGTTGGTTGTTTTAATTTATAGCCATCTAATTGGGTGTGAAGTGGTATCTCATTTTGGTTTTGATTTGCTTTTCTGTAATGACCAATGATATTAAGCATCTCTTCATGTACTTACTGGTCACTTGTATATCTTTTTTGGAGAAATGGACATTTAAGTCCTCTGTCCACTTTTTTAAACTGGGTTATTTGTCTTTCTGTTTTTGAGTTGCAGGAGTTCTTTATATATTCTGGATACTAGATCCTTATTAGATATACATCTTGCAAATATTTTCTTCTATTCTGTAGG